ATTATCGAAGGAGCAAGACCTAAATGTTTAGGACCCGATTGTTATATTAAATTAGCTATGAAATGTATGAATAAAGAATTTGATAAAAGACCTACTGCAACAGAGATTAAGGAAATAATCACTCGCTGGTTAAATGAAATGGATCAAGAAGATGATAATGAAATCAAAACCCAATTTTTGGAAGCCAATAAGACTAAACCAAAGGCGGTCAAACAAATACATTCTCAAGATGTTTATACTAGCAAGCTACATAATACACAAAAATTTTCCGAATATATTAGCAAATCATGAGTACAATCGAAATTTCAATTATGTAACATGCACTTAGGAGGGTAAAGCTATAGAATTCTTCTTAGTTATAAAAAATTTCTACGATATTTATATCCATTATATTACAATATTTCATCTATAAATTATAGATAATATTTTATCGGTTTAATGGTTTGTTTCTTGGAAGCAACAATGCTCTCAATATTCTCGAGAAAATTTTAAAAAAAATTAGAGAATACTGCATTTAAAAGTCATGCTCTCTTTTGAGGACAAATAAGCACATAAAGTTTATAATTGTGCTCTCGTAAGATATATATTAAAATGTTATTATCAGTAAAATTGAATTTTTTTATCATTAAGAATATTAAAAATTTTTAAATTATCGATTATAAGAATTTTGATCCCAAAGTTTATCAAGAATTACCATTATAGTAATTAAAATTAATAAAGTAAAATTTCACAAGAACACCGTTTTAACATTGTATTTAAGTTAAACATTGAAAGCAATGATATATTTAATTGTAGGCCAAAAGTAAATTAAAATGTCTACTATTTAAAAAATTGGCCTCTGTGTCCACCTTTAATTGTTACCAACCTAATTAACAAATCCTAAAAGACCAGAGTATTTCAAATGACAAATAACTTTCATCTATAATATTAGGCGAAATTTAAGGTTTCGCGTTAGCAAAATTCGAATTTAATCTTAATCTTTTACAAAAAATTTTGAAAATGAGATGTTCTGCTTCTGTTAATGATTCGCAGCATGTAAATCATGTTGTTATATGTGACGGATTAAAATAAATATTGTAAAATATAAAAATAGACAAGCTACCAAAAAATAAAAATTTTTGAGGATCATTTTTTAGATTTAGGGGTTAGGGCAAGAGGTTAGTTTTAGAGTAGAGTTTATAATAAACAAGTGAATTTTAGAAGGGTAAATAGAAACCTTCATTTCATTTTAATTCGATTTATTATGACGATAATTAATTAATTGATAAAACTTAACAAGTTAAAACATTTTGCTCTATAATTCTTTATATATAATTTTTTTAGGTCGGATGTGATTACAGTACATTTAAAAGATTTACCAACTAGTTTGTATTTTATTTTTCATCAAATATTATTTAAAAATTAATTATTATAAAATTAATTAAAATTAATGCTTAATTGTTCATTATCATTAGCAATTTGCAGAATGTCATAATCGACAATTTCAAAGCGCTTGATTCCTTGTTGGAAGTAATTAATGATACCAAACTTCTTCGAAACTATAGTCAGCCTATGTAATTGTGAGCTGATAGCTGATAATGGGTTCAGCTGTTTACAAGGCGAAAGTTTTTTTTTATCAACATTTTAAAATATAAGTGGTCTTTTTATTAATATTTACTGTGATGTAAATTTACAGATTTACAGTATCTTTGATGTCATAAGTTGTGAAATTCGAGATCTTACCTTACCTTTCTTTAAAGGTTTGATTAAATTTTCATTTTTATTTTTAGTATAAGTATTGCTTTACAAAACAAGTAATTATATATAATTACCATTTTGAGTATAGGTGTGTTATTTTGAAAAAATATAATTTACAGCTGATTTAGGGGAGCATTAAAGCCAGGTGCGTTAGAACTACTCTTTTGATGAAGTTAGAGTTACTTTTTGATATAATTAAGGTTAGCAGGTTATATAGATATCAAGGATATAATTTATGCAGTATATAGATCAATATATTAAACGAACCTGGTTTTAACGGACTACTTGATTTTACAATCATCATACTTACCAACAAGATATAGGGGCGCGTTATTTGGAGACGCGCCGGGGTGTTATTTCGAAACCATAGATGCTATTTTTAGGGGGGCATGGTTTTCAAAATAATGCCCGGCCTGTTATTTCGTGAAAATACGGTATGCAAAATTTTAGACTTTGGTAAGTTAAGAACATTAAATCTATTAAAGACAAGAGTAACTATAAATGTCTGTACACTCGCTTTGCAGATGCACCTTTTGCATCTATTTTTGCAGATTTAAACTTATTATACTGTCCTAGAGTTGGAGGGAAGATAGCTTCACAGATTACAGTATACAGTAAATATATCAAATGAATTTTTGATGAAAACTTCCTAAAATACGAAACTAGCTTTTTTCTATTTATAACAGCATTGTAGAATTTTTGACATCTCAATCTTGATAGTTTATAAGTTAGTTAACACCTCCATTTGTACCAGTAAAAAACCTCCAGTTTTCGACTTTGAGACCAATGAAAATTATATGTCACTTTAAAAATATGGTTGAGCTTATGTTAATAGAAAACATTGGCATTGGTTAATTTGGATTGAAATAAATTGCAAAAGGTAAAAAAATGTTTACTTTGTAATTTTTATTTAATGATAATTATATTTAAAATTTTAAATAATAAATTTTATATTTTAGGGTGCAAATCTCAAAATTTTAATCATTTCCAGAATCGAGCGGAAGAATCGAGCGATTTATTACAAAATTTTTCTGATATATTTTAGTTGGTTTTAGATTTTTTTTTTTTCTAAAAGCAACTTCAATTTTACTATACATTTTATCATTATTGAAAGTTACTTATTCTTTTTCAACCTTACTTTCTTATTCTTGCTAGTACGAAATTAACTGACATTGGAATGTCTGCCCTAAAAGGTATTTAATGTCATGAAATTTGTATAGTTAATTTCATCAAATTTACAATCACCATAATCTTTATACATACGTATAAATATGTAGATTTGGAAATTTTAGTTTAATTATATATTTTTAAACCTTAATTAAGGAAGTTGACTTTTTTATCCAAATAAATGTGTATTCATAACAATAATTACAAATATTTACAGACACATAAAATACCATTAATATCCTGACAAAATTTTTTAATCAGACTTACCCATAATGGTTTAAGTAAAACGTGTATAAAGAATGCATATTTGTCCACAATCCGTAAATCTACGTTTGCGGAAATTAAAATATAATTGATATTAATTTTGTTTATCTTTTTGAATTTGGATTTCACTCTAGTATCTTTATCATGCCGCAATATTTTAGCTGGTAAGAAAGCATCAAACTTCTAAATCACTTATTTAAGAATTATGTGCAAGAGATATGCATAATTTTTTATTTATATTAGCTACCTGATTTTAAATTACACAGTATTATATCAATTTTTATTGATTTATTATGCCGAAAAAATTACCGGCCGAAAATTTTTTTCGGCTAATTTTTTATAGGTGTCCTAGGAATAATAAAAACAGCTGTAAACGATACTGTATTTCAGTAAAATGAGACTTTCAGCATTATGTCTTTTTAATAAAATGGGATGTCAGTATTATAACTTCAGTGAATGGTATTTCAGTAAAATTGATTTCAGGAGGTTAACCCGTAACCGTTCTCAGGTGCTTATCTCAATAAATCATAGACAATCTTTTAATTGGCCAGAAATCGAATAAGTGAGTTACCATTTGATGAATAAAATATGTAAGTAAAGCTTGTAACCGAATTTATTTTTTAGATTCGGATTTATTTAATTAGCTAAATGGATATTGGTTTTATTTCGTATATAAATTTTATATTTGATTAAAGTTTTAAATACAGTTTTAATACCATATTAAATCTCTATTCGATATCATAAAGAACTTGATCAGTAAGTTCATCAAAACCTTCCCAAAAATCATTTTCATCGTCTACTTCTTGTTCAATATCTGATAACCATACTAATTCATCTTCAACATCCTTTTTTATATCACATTTGTAAATAACCTGGAGATTCCAATAAATATATACTAACTCTTCAAGACGTTTATTTGTTAGACGATTTCTTTTCTTGGTATGTATATGAGAGTATACCGACCAGTTACGTTCAGAACTTGCAGAAGATGTTGGCATCGCAAAAATTCGAGTACAAAATAGTTGAAGAAATTGAAAGCTAAATCCATATGCTATACGTATAATAGTTATTAATTAGTTAATTTTAATAAAAGTAATTTATATTTAATACTTCAGTATTTACTGCTCCATCAGTCACGAGGATGCAAGTCTTTTGCTGCTTCTTGTAAGATAATATTGGAGTCAAGAAGAGCGACTAGCTCTCCATATTCTTTATACAATTTAGCATGTATTTCTTTTTCAGGTTTGAGAATAAAATTACTAATATATGGCGTAACATCTTGAAATAGCTGAGTTAACGCATGAACTGTAGGACGAAAGTGATGATGTGGATAAAAGCGGCCATCAAGAAGATAGGCTAATAGCATTATAGGACTTTGCATATAATTAAACCGTTTAGTAATAATATCTATTACAGAATCTTGAATAGGATTTGTAATATTGTATTCTAAATTTTTCATATCAGCCATTTCTTTATAAACAAGAGATAAGGTAGCTGAATTACTTTCGAACATAGTAATACCTATATATATATAAAATAAAAGTTAAAAATTTTTTATATTAAAAAAAAAAGCTATATCATACATTTTACAATAGGGCGTAATACTTCAGCTAAAACTGAAATATTATCCCAATTATCCTCATCAGCAATTAAAATTCTATTTGACGATCTTGCTGAGTTCTAGCAGGTATTTGATTATTTCCTAGTACACTCTAATAGCATATTATAGTTAATATTAATTTTGAAAGAATAAAACCTATATGTATATAATCAAGAAAAAAATTATATTAATAAAATAAAAGATAATATAAAAATATATATATAAAGTAAATAACTTACATAATATATGTATATACTATATAGTATTATTATAAGAAATTATATATGCGAATAATAATCAATATAAAATAACCTATATTAGCATATAATTAAAATAATTAATAAATAAATATAAAGTCAAATATAGTAAAAAAAGTATATATGAGTTTATTAAAACAAACCTGAATGCTACTTTTTGATTCTAATAATTTTTCAAGTACTGCTAGTTGAGTTTCCCATCGTGTTTTTATAGGATTCACTAATGCGATAGTTTTATTCTTTTCTTTTTTTTTTGAGTTTCATTAAGATGTGCTTTTACTACTTGATGAGAATTAAAATAATTAGTAATTTTACTTGCTATTTCTAATGTATTACGTGTCCACTGTAACTCATCATCAATAAGATTAGATTTTTTAAAGATATCAGAAATAATTAAATTTGCCGAATGTGCTGCATACCCATAAAAAAGAATAGAAAAAAATTTTATACAAAAATATTCCAGGCTGCACGCATATTAGCTGCATTATCAGTTACAACTGATACTACAAAAGTTTCTTTAACTTCTAGAAATTCTAGAATAACATTTTGAATTCCTTCTGCAATATATTCAGCTATATGAGAATTAGTTTTTGTTACTGTTGATTTAATAAAAATTGGACCATGTGTTGTCAAAGACATATAATTAATAATTAATTCATTGCGCTGATTTGACCATCCATCTGTTGAGATAGAAATAAACTTTTCTTTTGAATAAATTTTTTGAACGTGATCTTTAATTTCTTTATATTCATCACTTAACAAATTATTGCCAAGTAACCAATGAGATGGTGGATTATAAGTAGGATGAAGTGATTTTAAAGCTGCAATAAAAAAATTATTTTCAATTAATACATGTGGAATACCACATGCATAAAATGCACGAGCAATTTTTTTATCAATTGTTTTTTGTTCAATAGGATTTAATTGACGTGACAAGTAAGGATCAACTGGTAAATTTGGATTTTTTTGAATAACAGTAACAGGTAAAGAATTAGAAATTGTAGGTTCATTTTGATTTAAATTTAAAAAATTTTGATATTTTTGACAAGAATTTAAATGTGAACGAAGACGTTGTGCTTGGCCTGATAATTTTTGATCACAATGAATGCATTCTGCAACTGGATGTCCTTTTGGTGTATTTGGTGGGTATTTGTTAAATTCTTTCCAAGCAGAATCAGTCATTTTGTCAATTTTATCAAAAATTAAAATAAATCGATTAGCTCACCTTATATATATGCATTTGTAATATTTATAAATCTAAATTTTTTTAGAACATTATTTAGATTGTGGCTTTGCAATAAAAGCTTTTCGTACGGTTACTTTTTTTTTATTTTATTATAATTACTAATTTTTCTTGCTTGTAAATTTGAAGTGCTTTTCAGGTATATAAATTAAGCCTATTCTTTTTTTTAGTCTTATTACTTTTATTATACTTGACTATGAGCTCTTAATTATATATTATATTAGAGATATTATACTATCATAACCTTGTATTAATATGCACAGTAGGCTTTAACAATTACGATACTAATTTTGTTAATGCTTAATTTTGCAAAAAAATTAGTCTTGTGTTAATATGCATAGTGGGCTTTAACAATCACGATACTAATTTAGTTAGTGCTTAATTTTGCAAAAAAATTAGCCTTGTGTTAATATGCATAGTGGGCTTTAACAATCACGATACTAATTTAGTTAATGCTTAATTTTACAAATAAATTAGTCTTGCATAATGGGCTTTAACAATCATGATACAAATTTAGTTAATGCTTAATTTTGCAGAAAAATTGTAAAATTAATTTATTGAAAATGATCTCACACGCATAATCTAAATATTTATTAAATGTACTTTAGCCAAATAATACTAAATATTAAAACTTTATAGATATATATATAGCATATATTAGCGCATTTAATATATGATTAATTTAGCTTGGTTTTCTATTTACAAAAGTGGGCTAGCTATAAACAAAAATATTTACAATTACTGTAAATTATTAATAATATTGATACTTAAATTAGTTAGTATTTCCCGCCTGTATAATGCAGACTGGCTATAAATATAAAAGGTTTGTAAAATAGCAAAATTTTGTAAGCCAAGTAGATCGGGTATAAATTTAGTTCAATCTTTCAAAGCTACTATTAGCTATTTAGTCTTATATTTGTAAAAACTAGTTAAAATTAGCTTTAGATATGTTATTCTGAATAGGCAATTGATTAAATTCTATTTATCTTCTCTCTTCGCACTATATTAATTTAGATAATAATTGTACTGGTTTTTTTTGCTAGCATTCTAGTTACCTGTGATTATCAACATGTAAGGCTTTACTGCCTTGCTTTCTTTTTGATCTGTTACTTTACAATTAACTTGAATACAATATTTAAATTGATTACTATATATTCGCAGTATTCAGATGCATCAATCCTGATTTAGATGCAATTAAAATTTTAATATATAAATTTAAAATATAATTTATATAGACACAGTATCGATATACACTATAATAGTTTATAATGTTAGTATATAGTAAATAGATTAATTCTATTGGCTTAATTTTTAACTAATAGTATCTCTCTGTATATTAAAAATCTACCGGTAGATATGATACCAGTAGTAGATATCTACCAGTAGCTACCAACTCACATCACTACCGGGGACTTTTATTAAGTAGATATAATGTTATACAATTACAATGAGAGTACATATAGCCATATGTGCACCTTTTGAGTGCCTAATTTAAATAGTCCGCCCGAAGGTTCTACACTATCTGCTATACCTGCACCCCAACTAGGGGAGTACCTATTTAAACCCTCTGGTTCTAACTGTCGATTACTTCTACCTAACCAAGATGTAAGTCACTATTCGGTTGTAGTTTTTGTGCCACCTGTAGATTTTGCACCCACCTTAGGACTTACTAACCATCTAAAGCTAGTCTATCCACGAGGTAAACCTAACAGAGTGGTTCATATCCCATGCATGTATTTACCTGCATATTCAGTAACTTCTTATCTAACTAGTACATGTTGTACTGCCGCCACTAAGTTCGTATCTCAAGCCAACTTTTGGGGTGCTGCAATAACCTGATTCATATCTCAAGCATAACCTTCCTAATTAGTCACTCATTATGTACTCACTGCCCTTGTAAGGTTCCCAACAATCCCAGTACCCGCATTTGGAACTATCTCCTTATCTAGATTCTCTATCGGTCTCTCCCTTACTTCCAGCTGGCAACCTGGATGGGTTAGTCTGCCCAGGCTTTAAATGCCTGAAGGATGCCCTCCCCTTGGTCTATACTTTCAGAGTGTATGCCCTTTTCTTCTAGTACGACAACCCAGCAGTTTGTCTGGTGTGTTCTCCGCCATTTAGGACCTGGTTGCTCAGTTCTCTGATCTCAGGCCCTGGTTCAAATTCAGCCCTCCTGTGATATTGTCAAAGATCATTGCTACATTCCAACTCAGGATTTGCCAAACAGGTTTTCAGTTATTCCAGTTCCTTGGATTTATTGCACCAAAGCTTTCATTACTAGATGGTGTAACCAAGATTACAAATTATGATCTAACTGATAATCGACAACCGTTAACTATAATGCAGATCCATTTTTCAAAATCATTGTTCGTGAGATTCGAACTCTAGACCTGCCACTTGGAAGGGTGACAACTAACTAACTAATAAAGTTTGTATAATTTTAGCTAAATAGATATGTATATATATATATATTTTAATTTAGCAGTCTTGCCAATACTGTTTATTAGATTTATACTAAGATATTTTTTTATTACAAATATTACAAATACATTTACAACTATCTAATATATATTACATATATTAGTTCACCCGGTTACTAATTTAAGTATCTATGTGTGATCTACTATATAAGACTTTTATCTTTTTAATAACTGCCCTGCAATTAGACTAGTTACTAAATCACCGGATGGTTCCCAAACCTATTGTGTCATATATATTCTGCTTATATTATACAACATCTTCTAACTAACTTTTACTCTCATTACTTATCACATTACTTCTAATTTGTTTTTGTATTACTTCCAAATTGGTGTCTTTTGAGTAGATGCTCTTCTTGCTTCTAGTTTAGTATCCCTAAAGAAGTTACTTTAAGTTCTAATCCATATCTCAAGCCAAATATTGCTATCATTATAAGACCCATATCTCAAGCTACCTGCTACTACCATTAGAAGAGTTATTTTATATCGATTCAGGTATTTACATTATACACTATCAAATTAGACTACTGCTTCTTTTATGTACTCCCTATTGGTATGGTGTTATAGAAGTCTAAATCCTTAAAACAGGAGTTGAGTACCTCATTTAATTACTAACACAAGCCAGTAACCTAGAACTCATGTTTCTGCTATATTTTGGCATCGACTTTTATATAGGTTGTGCAATATATTACTCACTGGCCATCTTTATTTTGTACTACCAGAATACTTGTTTCTAAGCTTTTCAGAGTTTCTTTTAGCTAGTTTTCCTTGTTTCTTTGTACCAGAGGTGTTTCATATTTGGTAAAGCTATTTTATTACCACAGCCCCTTACTATATTCACTGCTTTTCTTACTACTTCTAGATATACTACTTTGTGCCATTCTTCCAATCAAGTCTGTTACTAGATATTGGTACTACTTAAAGGCCACCCTTCAAGATTTATATACACAGCCTTCTGCAGTATTATTATTTATAACCCATGTCACACATAGTGCTTATCTTCTCCATAGTTTGAGTTTTCTTCCAAGAATTCTTTATTAGCCAAATATATACATTACATAGTCTTACCTTATAGGGTTTTGAATTTGAAAGCTCCTGAAGGTTATAGAGATAATTAATTAAACTAATTACCACCAGCTGTAATTGAATTGTTGATCTTGTTTGTGGAGAGTTAGATATAAAAAAAACTGCACAAAATTTTAATCTCAATGAATCATTATTAATCCACAATATGTGAAAGACAATACTATTGTACTCAATAGAATATTTGCATTTGTAAATTTATCTGGAATGCTAGGCAGTAGAAGAATTTTGTTTTTGATTTCACTGTACTTTGTTGTCTATATGTTCTAATTATGTTTTAAGATATTTGATCAACTTTATCTGTATTGTAAATGGAATTTATACAAAACAGAATCTACATTTATACCAAATAATTAAAATTTTTCATCAATATCAATTCTAATCACTTGCATTTTAGATCAAACTATAGACAAAAAAAAAATTTACTTTCTATACATTAATAAAAAACCTTTTCAGCATTGCTATGACCTTCAAACTCTAATGGCTAGAATTTTTAGCAAAATTTTTAGATCAAGTTTATTCTTGAAATAATTTACAAATTTATATATATTTTTATTTATATACTAAAAACAGGCATTGTTAGATGTTTGGAGCAAATTTAATTATTAATATATATTCTGTATATACTAGTAAATGGAAACCATTTAAGGTTCGAAGGACTTATCACAGATCAATCCGACAATGGGTATTTTCAGAGCAACTGTTGGTTTTTATCAATTAACTAATCAAACCCCTTAATTTGCGAACCAGATCACTATGACTCTCCCGTAATGTCCTTCAAACAATGAATCATAAATCAGTATGAATAAGAATTATTAATGGATTATTTATAATGACCGAATCGACTTGAATAAAAGATTATTTATCAACCAAAACAGAACTAATAAGAAGTACATATATTGCTTTCGAATACTTTGAATACTTTGATTAACAAATTATTAGCTTTCCAGTTAAATTAACTTAATTTATAATTATACCGAGATAGATACTTACAGATAAATTTAATATAAATATAAAGGATTGACTTATTTTAAATACATCTACTATTGTCACTAAATTAATGAAATAGGAAATCAAATTAAAAGTTAATAAACGCTATTTATTTTTCATAACGGCGGGAATAAGAGATAAATTTCCAATTATATGAGGGTCCGAAGGGCCTCATATAGCCGGAGATCTACCGGTTTATTTCCACGAGTGGAAAATATATGTGTTATTCTTCATTTTGAATATCATTATGGCAGATCATATAAATTGTAGTATGATTTCTCCTTTTTATCTACAAATTTCACAATATTGATCATGATTTACTAGTTTTAATTCGAGATTATTGTGTTTATGTAATGACATACAAAAAATAACAAGAAGAAAGAAATCTA